AGGCCCAAACAAATTGCAGACGAAAGCCAAACGCCAACCAGCCAACGGCTGCAAACCAGCCATCTCTTGTGACATAAGTAAGAGTGGGGAAAGGGAGCTTCAAGTCCAAAACTTCCTCGCAACATTGCGAAGGACATCCTGCAGAAGTTGTTTTGCCGCTAATCCGGCTTGGTAAATGTGTGTTGGCTTGCTGCGGAAATGATCCTTCGTGGTATATTATTTTTGTTCCGTAGTCCGGCTCATGTCTTGGACGCTTCGGCCAATCTGCTACTACTTGTTTGCAGGCCACAGTGGCAGGTGTGTGTCTGTGTGTGGAATGTGTTTTTGCAAGGCAGCTCCTGCAGCAACCTGCGGCTTGGCAAGTCGCTGAGGTTCAAAAAACGTCTCCGTTGGCTTGTCAAAACAGTCGCTGGCGAACATCGCAAAGGCACGGCCTCTGCATCGATCTTCGCGCGGCGGAGGAGATTCGCGGCCTTGCAAGATGCCCAGCCAGGAGGAACCAGGCGCCTTCCCCTAAAACACAGCTGAAATTGACGTGTCTGAAAATAGTGCCCCCCCCCCCAAGCAGAGCAACCGAAAGGGGGTCCCACGTGACACACCTTCCCACTCTCAACATGGAACCTTCCTGTCAGCTTCCACGTGAGCAGCGGTCAAAATTACGCTGCTTTCCGCAATTTGCTGAGTCCTCTTCTGGGAAATTGTGTGTCGAGCTATGCGAAGCCCAAATTTGCGACCCCAACATGTGCGAAGCCATGTGAGGGAGTCTCACCGCAGGTGCAACGTCCCAGTCGTTGCACTCTGCCTCCTTCGGCTCCAGGGAAAACATCATCCGCGGCGTCTGCAGGTGCTCGGCCTCGAAGCATGTCATCCGGACTCGACCGTGTGGCGGCTCAAGAACTGTACCAGAATGGCATGGTGAATGGAACAAAAGACATCCTGCGTAAGCCTAGCTTTCTATTTCTGAGCCACACCCACATGACAAAGCCTTAAGGCGGCTACGCAAATTAAGATGGACCCTCTCTTGGGGTCCCACAAAATTCGAAGAGGGGACTCCTCCAGAATCCTTTTGAGACGCCAAGACTGCAACGCGACCACCAAGCATTCTGGAGGTGCTCCAACCCGGGATTTGGATACGGCGGCTTCCAAACCGCGGATATCCCGGCGCCTTGGGCCTCGCCACACCCAGCGCCAGGGAAGCCAGGCTCGGCGCGAAGACCCGTTCCTGGCCGGCCAACCGATGGAGTCTGGAGTCTTAGCACCAAAAGGTGTGGCTCAAAGGTCCGTCCAAAAAGCATCTGGCATTCACCGTATGCAAAAAGCGACTTGAAGGAAGCCATTCAACTTGACACTACCAAAGGAGGCTCACCTAGCATCACCAGGTTCCATGCCATCGAGTCCCATCCGCAGTCTCTCTGCAGTCTCCGCTTTTCTTTCTGAGAGCGACCCTGTTTCACTGCCGCCACAAACCCACAAAGGACGAGGTCTGCGGCCACCAGAGCATGCAAGCAAAATGCCGCGCTCTGATCTGTGATGGAAGCAATGCCGAGGAGCCAGGCCCTGAACCCTTAGGCCAATAATGACGTCTTCCAAGATGTCTCAACGTTCACAGAAAATAACCCCCATGTAGTTGGCTTGGCCACAGCGGCACTCCGACGCTAGGTCGCTTCACAAGAGTTCCAGACCCAAAACCCCTGTTGGGGCTCTAATCACCGCTCGGCATCCGCCCAAGCTCACATGGCGATGAATCAATATGCAAACCCCTTGCAAACTTAGACCCGCCGAACCCCAAATGGACCATGCCGACATTTGACCACCCAACCTCACATGGCTTTGCAGGATTGCTGATTCGGGTTTATCGGCATCGCCGGTGTGCGAAACTTCTGGCTCCCAGGGGCATGGTGCGGAAGTGGCCGGTCAGCTCGATCATTCTCGAGCGTCCTCATATGTCCCCTCATGCTGAAAAAGGAGACTTCGATGTGTTTGAACGCCTGGAAAGGTCTCTGAATCCAAAAAAACAAGTTGCAAGGGACACATAAGGACACCGCTGGGATTTATCTCACCAGCCCCTTCAGCACAGAAAAAAACGTCCGTCCGGCCACACCCAATAGCTCCAAAGCTGTTGGAAGCTGGGCGAAGCAGGCTCCAGGGCCTCGTAACAGCCACTTGGGCAATAGCACACGTCCGGCACCAAACGACTCACACAACTCACTTAGTCACTATGCCACCTGCCCTGCGTGGCACTTCAAATATCCACACGCCCCACCCACTCAGTCTACAAAACTCATGGGCCACATTTCATCAGCTAGGTCTGTCACTTTGCATTGTCTGAGGATCGATCATTCAAGACAGTGACCCATGGCTATGGAGCGACAAAGCACGAAAAAACAACTATGTGACACTGAAACGATGCCAACCACCCACTCAGTTCACCGGAGCCATCCGGATCACAAGAACCTCCCTGTCGGGAAGGCTGCTGACAGCAACCCAAAGACTCACCGCTTGTAGATGTATGCCTTCATCCAATCCTGCAAGGGCTCAGGGACTGGCAAGTCTTGCGTGCACAGAAAGGTGAGGCCCAAGCCAATCGCACTCGGCTGGTAGGATTCACCGTGACCAACAATCAGTGAGGGTGCTCAATCAATAGCTACACTTCACTCGAGATGGGCCCACAACTGGCGCCCATGCAACTGATAGTTACTCACTAAAAGGAGAAAACAAAGTCATGAGCCATGACGCTTCCTGCCTCCTCCTCTTCCTCACCCCAAGGATCAATCGCAGCATCCTGTCCCCGTCCGCCTGATCCAATGCGCACGTTCGCCAGGCTTTGGGTTGGAGCCATCACCAAATAACCAGTGCTGATGGACGAAATCCACCCGTTGGAATGGCCCAAGACCCGTATTAAGCCTATGAAAACTGGAGAAAAAACCACTACCCAACTCCTCCATCCACTGGAAATCATTCTGATGGCTTCGCTCGCGAAGCCTGGCCTGTCGGTGCCTGGGAAGCCTTCCAGATCAGATTGTCGATGTAGTCCTTGGCACCTGAAACCATCGTGGCGGTTTCAATGGGCAAAGAGGGGAACTGGCTTCAAATTCTCCAAGCCATCTCAAACATGGTACCGGCCTCTACGAAAACACACATGGGTGTTGAACGAAAACAGTGAACCCATTCAAGCAGCGGCTGCAAGTCGAGACCTGAAAATGACTGGCTCTCAGGGCGGCACGGGCTACGTCACCCTTTCCGCCCACCACACACACGTTCTCGCAGAGGGAATGCTCGCGGGGAATGCTCACCTTCACCTGGCACCCACTGAGCATGGGCGTGCATCCTTTGAGATATGTAGGACCTCTGTCGAGACGATATGTCCTTCCCCCTTATGGATTTTGACGGCGAATTGTTTCGGCAATACAGCAGATCGGCTTCCCAACAAAAATCAGCGAGCCTTACGTTCTCACTCGGCGGGAGACGATCAGTGGACGGGGGGGGGGTTCCACTGGGTCTTGCAAAGTGGGTTTGGGTTCAGGGTTCTATCAGGCGTTCGGTCTTTGAGGATATTGGTTTTAGGTCGGCTGAAAGCAAAGCCGTGTTTTAAAGCTTATGCAACGAGTGAGAGAACAAGAGCAACATGGTGTGGCTGACATGCAACAATAAGACGGTCTAAACATGTTTTTTCACCTCGCTGCATGGACATTCCGCAAGCGGTCCCAGCCAATTACGGCGTGGGAGGTGAAAGGCGAGAGATTTACAATGGTATCCACCATACAAGCTCTAAAAGCATCAAAACACGGCAGTGTTCTTTCAAAAGAACGGTCTGGCGACCGTCACAGCAGAATGGCTTCAAGCTCAACTCGCCTTGAAGGCTTTGCTTCATCTCCAGACTGCTGCCCGCCTGGCCCTCCGCACTCTGCAGGTCTTGCAGGAGCACCGGCTTGGGCTTCGTGCCAGCGGGTTGGGCTTCGTGCCAGCGGACGGGGGATCGCGGTTTCCATCATTGACGACCAACCGCGGCCCCTGCCAGCCGGCGCTGCAGGCGTTTGCAGCCTCAGAGGTTTCGACCGCTGGAGGAGACTGCGCTTCTGCTCGTCGCTAGCACACGTGTCCAGCACAGGTGGGTGATAGCACCGAAGCCCGTGTCACCAGCACAGTTCACTCCTGAAAGGTTGGCAAAGTCCTTTTAGGCATCCCACAAGGCGCACGTGAAGCCTGCGTCCTGAGGCACCAACACCTTCCAGCCTTGAAGCGGCGTTGCGGGTCTTGCTGTCAGCCCATCGCTTGCCAGACAGGTGGCGTGGGGGCGCAGGCTCTGCTGGAGTGCGCCAGTAACCATGCACACTTGTAGGGCTGCTTGCAGGCGGCATAGATCCCATCCAAAACTCATAGGAAGCATCGAAGACACCCGGCGAGTCATGCTTCCCAACTACTCCGCATTTCCCACGGTCACAAGCCAAGCCTTCCCGCGTTGTTGGCCAAAACCGCAACCTGCCCCTTGGCCAGGGTAACGACTCGTGTAGCAATATTCCACAGTTCTTGTGGCGAGGCCACAGGCTGCACTGACCTGTTTGCTGTCACCATGGAGCAAAGTCTCAAGAAGGAGGGGGCTTGGCTCACTTGCGGGGCAAAACGCGTCAGCACAAAGCCGTCTAGATCGGAATTCCCGCCATTCGCAAAAAAAATGAAGAAACTGGGCCTTGCCCACCCAGCATACAGACATTTCCACCCAAAGCAACCTGCTTCATCATTCTGCGGCTCTCTCCCTTGGAGTCCCCGGAAGTTGCACACTTCCATCAGCTGTCAAAGGGAAACTTTCCTCAGCACTCGGAGCACCTGATGCTGCGGGCAGATTGCTCTTTGTGCGGTTGCAGCACCCTTGCGAGCTTGAGCTGAAACTCGAGCAAGCGTAACAATACCAGCGTAACATTGGCATGTGACGCGATTCATGCAGCCGAACCCCCGGAAACCTCAGCGCCTATGGCGCTGAAGAAACCGCAACTGAATCCACCTCACCCTATCCCCCTCGCAACACGAAAGGCTGTGAAAGGCTGGCCTCATTGTCTCCACGCAACAACCAGCACAAAAAATAACGCGCGTTGCGCGCGCCTTGTAGTTGTTCTGGATGTGGCGCAGCTCTGAGCCGGCCTTGCCGATGATGAACCTTCGCGCGTCAGATCTGCGCGTCTGGGATTCCCAGGGCCCCGGCCTGTACGCCCACGGCTCCACCTCGATCTCTTCGTGGGTCTGGCAGGGTGCCGAAAAAAGGAGACACCATGTACCTAGGGATACCTTCCATTTCCAGTCTTTCCAGGGATCCTTCTTTTCAGGAAACCATCAAAAACCCAGGGAAACAGCTGGTTTTTGAGAAGAACGATGGTTGAAAAGAATGGGGAATCAACCCCTAGAGTACAAATAAGCATGAATGGCGGCTTCCCTTCTAGTTTCCCTTCGAACCAACTCCAAAAACGGGATACCCTGGGAGGAAAAAATCACACACACACACACACACACGTCACAGGCTTGAACCGCTTGCCAAAAGGCGGATTCCGACTTCCCACCAGCCTGCCCCGGATGCGTGATCTCGTGGTAGCCGAACTTGGCAATGCTCTCCAGCACCTCGTCATAGTGAGTATGAGCCACAGTCCAATTCATCGTGTCTATCTGACCCCCTCACCAACAAAAAAAAAGGACTTGGATTGCTTGGTCAATCGGGTAATGGGTTAACCGACAATCCAGGTGTTGTCCTTGGGGGGCTTTCAATTCTACATTTTATTGGATGTGGTGAGTATCACCCATTTCCCAACGGTAATTTGGTTGTATCCAGTGCCATCCCCTTTACCTCGGTGAACGACGGCAAATATTGACCATTGCTGGTCTGAAGAGCCCGTCGTCATCTCAAAATTGGGACACCTTCTCAGTTTACCCAAGAGGGTGAGGAATGCATTCATGGGAACATGTGGCAACACAACCGGTCTCACCCAAACCTCAAAATGCTCATCCTTATCAACGTCTGAGTCAAAATACAAAATGCTTGGCGTCCTCTTGGTTTGGCGATTTCGCCACCCCAAAACGGGCACCGAGCCTCGTGAAAAAAAAAAAAAAGCCTGAGTCTCCCTGCGTCCTTCGCCTTCTTCACATCATCCGCCTTGCCCGCCAGGGTCACCTGAGTCGAGCTTCGTTGTCGAGCTTCAAAATGGGCTTAACAGTATATAGCTGTGGGTCAACACCAATGTTGGGGTAGGTGCACCACCCATTTTAGTCTATTTTAGTGGGGATTGGGATGTTCACTGGGGGTACGGGCGTTTAACCCATGGCCATATGTCCAAAACCTGAATTCAGAGATCCCCAAGTAAACGAACTTTACCATAGCTCGTTTTACCCCCGGATCGGTGTTGTCAAAACCAGCAATGTTGGAACAAGTAAACGACGCTTCTGGTTGCGCGATTATGCTCTTGCAACTCATAAGGGAGGATCGCTTCTCATTAACGTGTCTGGTCTTTCGAAAGTTTCCCCGGTTGAGACAGTGAGGATCTCAGAAGCGTCAAAGGAAGATCGGCTGGGCCCGTGCCTTGTACTTCTTGGAGCTGGTGGAGCTTGTCTTGGGCACCTGAAGTGGGTCTGGGAACATCAGCCTCTGTCTCATCAAACACGGGGATCAAAGGAGTTCCTCAAACCCCTGTTGATCAAAGTCAACCACAAGTCTAAATTGATCTGGGCGCCCCCGATATTTCCCCTGAATCGTCCCCCCAAAAAAGGGTTGGCCCTTACACAGCTCTCCATGTTTCTCACTCAACCAGGATGGGCCGGCAACTTCCCGAGCGTCGGTGATCCGATTCCAACTCCGACCTCCGGAATCTTCACCTCCACGTTCAGCTCCGTCTTGAAAGCCTCCCAAAGTTCCCCATGCGGCGCTCGGGTTGCTCTTCGACGGGAGCGCACCCCCCCCAAACGAACATGCTCCGTTTTGTTCTTCGACACCCAACTCCAAAGAAATACCCCGAAGACCTGGCTCCCCGCTCGCTCGCAGCCTTGATGGTCACTCCCTGCTTGCCGATGATGTCCGGGAACGAGGTGGGGTGCACGGGCACGGCATCCTCCTTGAAGTCCTCGAAAGCCATGCTGCAGTAGCCCTTCTCCACCAGCTCCTGAAATGGCTATGGGTCAACAAATCAACCACCTGGGGACTGACCGCAGAATTTAGTCCTTGTTTCCATTTACCAGGGTTCCATTTTGTGTACCTATTTTTGACTCACACCCGAATCACGCTCAGCCGTGAGTTGGCCAGATTCGAGACCCAAATCCTCGAACGATCGCTCTGGACAAGTCCCTCCGTGACTTGACCAGGCTCCGACCCTCCGTCGAAAGTCTGGCAATGGCTGTCCTTGATGGCCATGTGCGCCAGCTCCACTTCCTATGCAGCCAAGTATCGTGCTTCAATGGGCTCCCGACAGAAAAATGGCATGGGAGAAATTGAGAGTGCCATTTTGAGCTTGGTCTAAACAAGAAACCAAAGGAAAACTGCCCACTTTGGGGGCGCCTATTGTCCAAGATGATCCACATCCGACGATCCAAATGTCCAAGTCTTCCGACAAGAAGGCTTCAAACATGGCACATGCCAGCATCCGAGCCTTCTTGTCCTTGCCCGCAATTGTGAACATCTCGCCGGATGTGTCGATGCGCACTCCAGTCTTTTCCTGCATGAGCTTCAACATGAGATGACGCAAAAATGGCGGTCTTCCTTGTGTTGTTTGAAGCAACACTAGAACAAGGTGCCATGCTCATGTGTGTCTTGATCACGACGTGCTGGCCGCCTTGTGCTGCCCCAGCGCAGCCATGAAAAAAGTCACAGGCACAGGTTTGGCATTCCCAAAGGCCTGGATCATCTTGATCTTGGCTCCCTTCGGGCCAATGACAATGCCAATCCTCAGCCGTTGCGAACTCAGCGTCGGGTCACATCCGAAACACAGCGAATCTGCACCTATTCACTCCACCCACCTTTCCAGTCCACTTTTCTGATTCGCCCCAAAATGAGTCAAAGTCAAACCGGAAATTAACATGCTGTACCCAAACACCTTCATCTACCTGGGTGTTGATTGCCATCCAATTCTGAGGCCAGGTCTTGTTCTCCGGCACCTTGATGGTTTCGGTGTGCATGCTCGTCGTCTGCGCCTCGAGGCGGCTCGCAAGGGGAAAAGCCAGGATGCCCGAACAGCCCAAAAGCAACCCGCTTGGCAACCCTTTTTGTGGCCATACTGTGGATGAAATTCTGCACCTAAGAAACCCTGGTTCTGATGATTCCCTTATAAATACCAACAAATGCTGACTTCCCATGGTGTCAAAGTGGCGCAGGATTTCGTCCATCCGCAGCACCAAAGGATCTCCAGGAAAGGAACTTAGTGAACCTCCAATTGGTGGTTTGGGAACCTAAGGAACTTGGTGGTTAGGAACTCTTAGAGGAAAAACGGGAACCCCCCCCTAACCAGCAACTGGAAGGAATCTGATTTGATTCTGGGGGTTGAAACCCCCAAAACCCACCAATTTGAGGGAAAATGGGGCCCCAAAGACAAACCACGAAATCGGAAGGCGACGCGAAACGAAACCACCGCAGCTCGCAGCGCGAGCTCGCCTGCTCGGCCTCCACGGCAGCCTTGGCCTCCGCCCCCTTCTGCGCAGCCCGCGCCATGAAGGCGGCGATCTCCTCCTTGGAGGCGGCCTGGAGCGGCAAGGAACCCACAAAAGCCGACATTTGTGTATATACATGTGTATATATGATATATATATATATATTTACTTATGGGGAGGGGGGGTTCACGGCCTGGAACATATATATATATATGTATATATATATATATGTATATATATATATGTATATATATATGTGTGTGTATGCATATATGTACACATGTATGTATGTATGTATGTATGTATGTATGTATGTATGTATGTATGTATGTATGTATGTATGTATGTATGTATGTATGTATGTATGTATGTATGTATGTATGTATGTATGTATGTATGTATGTATGTATGTATGTATGTATGTATGTATGTATGTATGTATGTATGTATGTATGTATGTATGTATGTATGTATGTATGTATGTATGTATGTATGTATGTATGTATGTATGTATGTATGTATGTATGTATGTATGTATGTATGTATGTATGTATGTATGTATGTATGTATGTATGTATGTATGTATGTATGTATGTATGTATGTATGTATGTATGTATGTATGTATGTATGTATGTATGTATGTATGTATGTGTATGTATGTATGTATGTATGTATGTATGTATGTATGTATGTATGTATGTATGTATGTATGTATGTATGTATGTATGTATGTATGTATGTATGTATGTATGTATGTATGTATGTATGTATGTATGTATGTATGTATGTATGTATGTATGTATGTATGTATGTATGTATGTATGTATGTATGTATGTATGTATGTATGTATGTATGTATGTATGTATGTATGTATGTATGTATATACACATATATGTTGTATTACATTAATTATCATGGATAAGTATACTTTATACTATATGAATAGGTGTTAGGTACACAAATATGCTTGCACGTGCATACAGAGACCATAGTCTATTCGTCCTATCTTCGCAGGCGCATCCCGCCCGGCCTTTGGCGGCTGCGCCATTCCAGGGACCGAATTGATCGGAGCCTGGGGGGGCAAGACTCGAAGACTCGAAGCCCGGCGCGCGGGAGCCGCTCCATTGAACTGGGTCTGTCTGGAGGGTCGCCTTTTTGGGGGTTCTAAAGGGAAACCAGCAGGAAACCCCACCACTTTGGGGAGTCTTCAAATCTTCAAATCTGCCGGCTGCGCCATGCCAGGAATCATCTTCTGGTCCTTCTTCATCTGTGCCTCGCAAACTCGAGGCTCAAAAGCTGGCGAGCTTCTTGGAGGAGATGGAATCACTGTCAACGGGGGCAAAGCTTTGCCCATGTGGTGCTTTGAAGTGAATCGACGTGCTTTCTCAGCGTCCCTCTGATTGGTGGTCTGGAGGTCAGAGATGGTTTCCCATTTACCCTCTACAAAACCAGGGGTTGAAACCCGCAAACCACCAATCCAAACCAAGACGCAAGCTAAGGGAAGACTTGCAGGACGGCCTGTCACCAGGGTTCCGTTTTGGGTACCTATTTTTGACCCACAGCCATTTCACGGCCGACTCAAGGCAGTCTGAAGCTCTCCTTTGTTCCCTCCCATTTGCGAGCATGAGTTTGTCTCCGAGGGGAAGTCACAAACTAGAGAGTTTCCTGCTCGCAAACCACCAAACCACGCAAAACCCAACAAGAGTTCACCTTCTGCATCACAGAAAACAGAGAAGAAGAAAAAAGCCCCCCGCACCTCCTGCTTCTTGATCATGTCCTGCTTCTCCTTCCTCTTCTCCGCCTTCTTGCTCAGACCCGTGGACTGCTCCCAGTCACCGCCGGACCCGTCGTCCTCACCCCGCGCCCCCCGCGCCCCCGAAAGGAGTGCGAACCGCAAAACCTCGCGCACGGCATCCCCCCCTTAGGTTCCCTCTAAGGTACCCTTAGACTACTGACAATAGACTTCTGACAATAAGCGAGCAAAAGGGATTTGTGCAACCCCCAACCATGTTAAAGGTTGTTCCACTCATCAACATCCACAGTCCAATGAAGTATCAGGCACTTCCGCCATGCGCTTTGCAAACGCGGGAGTAACCACATGTTTGTTTGGCAACCCTGCTGAAAACTGAAAAGTTTGGCCCGCAGCATCGCCCTTGCGAGTCACCTTGCGGAGTGATTTTTCTCTGAGGATGCTGCAATGGCGTAGGGTTGCACCACCTCCACTCGCTCCGGGCCCGCTTCCTCCTGTGTCAAATGGAGGAAACCAAAGGAAATGCCTCCCCAACCCTTCGCTTTACAAATCACAGGCCTCGTTTGGCCATGAGGTGCTCCGAAAAGGTATGTGTTGTCTTGCTTGCCTTCAAACGCCATCCGAAAGGAATTGGCCTTTTGAGGGCACCCCTCGCCCCATATGGCTGTGGGTCAAAACCCTGTACCCCTGGTGAACATCAAAATAGGTGGCAAATGGATGTTCATCCACCCCAAAATGGAGCCATTGGTTATGCCCCATGGCCATATTATGAGAATAAGAAGTTTCGTTAATTGGCATGAGGCAAGCGAAGCACAAGTCTGCGCCCGCTCCTTCGGAGGGGGCTGCGCTCCCCCCTTGGCCTTCGGAGCAGCCTGCAAGGGCTGCACAGACCGGCGAGAGAGAGAGAGAGAGAAAAACAAGAAACAGAACAGAGAGACAGAGAAAGAGAAGGAGTAGAGAGAGAGAGAGAGAAAGAGAGAGAGAGAGAGAGAGAGAGACAAAGAGACAAAGAGACAAGAGGGAGGGAGGGAGGGAGGGAGGGAGGGAGGGAGGGAGGGAGGGAGGGGGAGGGAGGGAGGGAGGGAGGGAGGGAGGGAGGGAGGGAGGGAGGGAGGGAGGGAGGGAGGGAGGGAGGGAGGGAGAGAGGGTATACACATCCTGTTTCTACACCTGGTGGTTGACCCATTTTCCCAGGCCCAAAAACTCCATGCGCGGAGCTCGCGCCTTGGTCGCTGCCGCCTTGGCGACAGCCTTTGGCTCTGGTGCCGGGGCGGCCGCCTTGGCCTTGCCCTGCATGGCTGTGTCCCCGGAAAAAGTTCCCACTGGGACCCTGGAAATCGCACGGGTCTCCTTTTTAAAAACAAATACCAAAAACAAAACAAAAATACGTTTATTCATGGAACAAAATGTATATCCCTTGTATGCATTGATGGGATGCGTTCCGTCAAATATATACGTTACGTTGCTTGGTTAAATCCCTTGGGACCAAGGGTCTCCTTTTTCGGCTTCCGTAAAACAAAAGACAAGGTGTCCGATCGGCACCAGAAAGAGGCACACACACAGAGAAAAAAAGCAGCGGGCGGGGCAGTATCTAAATAGGGCCCAAGTTGGATTTGACAACCACTATGTAGCCATCCAAGGTTGCTTTTTGTACCAGGTCGCGGCAACTTGCTTGAACATGTGTAAAAACCCACTGCTCAAGTCGCCTTTTCATTTCCCTTAGGGGCACCAGGGTTGTTTTCTTGAAACCACATGCGCTTCACTCGAGCCTTGGCCTTCGGCACAGGCTCCTCCACCGGAGGAGGCTCCTTGGCTGATCCAACCCAAAGAACCTGTGTTCTAGGGGTTGATTCCTTTTCCATTCTTTTCAACCATCGTTCTTTCCAAAAACCGGCTGATTTTTGTTGGGTTTCCGGAGGTTTTCTAGAAAGAAGGATTCCTGGAAAGAATGGGGAAGGTACCCCCAGATGTGTGTGTGTGTGTGTGTGTGGGTGTGTGTGTGTGTGTGTGTGTGTGTGTGTGTGTGTGTGTGTGTGTGTGTGTGTGTGTGTGTGTGTGTGTGTGTGTGTGTGTGTGTGTGTGTGTGTGTGTGTGTGTGTGTGTGTGTGTGTGTTGTGTGTGTGTGTGTGTGTGTGTGTGTGTGTGTGTGTGTGTGTGTGTGTGTGTGTGTGTGTGTGTGTGTGTGTGTGTGTGTTGTGTGTGTGTGTGTGTGTGTGTGTGTGTGTGTGTGTGTTGTGTGTGTGTGTGTGTGTGTGTGTGTGTGTGTGTGTGTGTGTGTGTGTCGTGTGTGTGTGTGTGTCGTGTGTGTGTGTGTGTGTGTGTGTGTGTGTGTGTGTGTGTGTGTGTGTGTGTGTGTGTGTGTGTGTGTGTGTGTGTGTGTGTGTGTGTGTGTGTGTGTGTGTGTGTGTGTGTGTGTGTGTGTGTGTGTGTGTGTGTGTGTGTGTGTGTGTGTGTGTGTGTGTGTGTGTGTGTGTGTGTGTGTGTGTGTGTGTGTGTGTGTTGTTCGATGTTCCCCCCTTTTGTTTGCACGGTCAAGGAAGACCAAAGAGCGCCGCCCATCTTCACGCTCCCTTTTTTCGAACTCACCGCATCGCCAGGCGGCCACCTTTGCCTTGGCCTTTGCCTTCGGATCTGCCTTAGCCTGCGTCACGTGGGTGGAGCCATGGGAATCAGTGGTATTACACAAGGGCCATTTGGCTGTGGCTCCAAAAAATGTGCCAAAATGGCACCTTGGCACATGGAACCAAAGACTACAACCTGCGTAACCCTAGCTGCTTAATTTTGAGCCACACCCATTTGGCTATGTAACTGGACACTCGCGGACAAGCTCCATCAAATTGCATCCTTTGGGGGGATGTAACTATGTCCACCCAATCGCCTGGTTCGACCCCCAAAACAAACCAACCTCCCACCATGTTGTTTTCCTGAAGGGAAAACAAAAAAAAACGTTCATCACCCCAAGCCTTCGGGATCGAAACGAAAACGAGGCCCCCGCCTTCGGGGCCTCCTTCGGCTTCGGGGCCTCGGGCGCTGCCTTCCCCTTGGCTTTGGCCTCAGCGAAGCAAAAAACATAGGGCCATGGACCGCAGGTTTTAGTCCCGGGGCTCCATTTTAGGTACCGGTTTTTGACCCGCACCCATATCAAGGGTTGGGTTACAGATGAAGTTCTACAGGAAAACAGCTTATTTGCGGTGTCTTGGGGGTATTTGTCTGTAGAATTTTATTGTAACCAAACCCTTGGAAAACATAGAAAGACCTAGCGAACCTGAAAACAAATCGAACTCATGAGGAAAATGATAATGTAAAATGAATAGAAATTTGAATTCCTCACTCTTTGAGTTGATTTACCCGGGGACATAGAATATGTAATATATATATATATATTATAGGTATACGTCCAATCACTTGTGAGGTTCCCGAAGATTCTTCGGCACAAGGACCAAACAACACATCGCTCCCGAGGTAAGAGCGCCAGCCTTCGGCTCTTGCTTCGGAGGCTCCTCCTGGACGCTCGGTGCCAGGAATGCTGAGCCCATGCTGTGGGATACTCCCCACATAAAACCATTTGGGGGAAGGTCGTGTAGGTGGTTGGGGGAATTCGTGTATTTGGCTGTGGTGGTCAAAACCCAGCAAACCCCTGGTGAACGTCCAAACAGGTGGCAAATGGATGTTCATCCACCCCACAATGGAGTAGGTTGTGCCCCATGGCCATCTGGGCGTGACTTTTGATGGGGAACCTCCTGAAAAGTGGCTGGTGGACATGAATCCGTTTACCCAGATGATGTCCACCAAAGGGCCCCGAATTAATTGTCATACCCGTATTCATCAACCAACCAGTTTATCAATGAAGTGTCCATTTGTGTGGAATCAGACCACTTTTGGAGGCACCCCCTATTGATTAACACGGTTGGTTGATTAATATGGGGTCAACATTGTAAGCTTACCCTTCCTCCCAAGTTGCCATGGCACCTGTGAAAGGTTACCTGGAGGATCAATCAAAAAATCCTCCTTAAGGGGCCCTCTGTCAGGTGTCATGGTAGTGGGAAGCTGGTGAACCTTTTGGGGCCATAAACTAAAAGTGGGTGCCTTGTTTCAGGGGGGCTGTTCCTCTCAGTGTCCCTTTGAAACCACAAAAAAGGGGTACCTCAAACAAAGACACAACCCAAATGGATTAAGAAGAGGAAACTACAAGGTCAAAAGATCGATTCGCTTTGCGCAAGTGAGATAAAGGGAGCTTTTGACAACACATTTGATGTTGGTTGTTGTTGTTTTTTGACCCACAAAGCTTGGCTTAGCCAGCTCCTGCTTGGGTATTTCAAGGAAAACCAGAAGGAAGCCGCTGGGTCATGGTCACGGCTTGGTAAACCCTTGGAATGGTGGTCTACACCTACACCATCCCTACCCCAATACTTTGACCATGGCACACATTTGCGAAACACCCAACTGGCTCTCAAATGGCTTTCAAGCAGCAGGTCCTTTGCCTTAGGAGTCGCCTTGGGCTTGGCAGCAGCCTGCAAGCCGAAGCCGACATGCGCCAGTGTTCAAACCACTTCAATAGGTTACAACGATGGTAAGGGCACTAACCCCCAGTTACTCCTGTAGCCTAAGTAGCTAAAAAAGGCGGCTGAACATCCAAGCAAGGGCCTTGGGGGTTTAACCGTTACTCCAAAGGATCCTGGATTGCTTCTCCGTTCCAATTGTCCGTGCCTTTGCTGCCTCCTTCGGCTTCGCCTGAACGCAGGTCCACCCTCGCTTCGCTTGTTGCGGACTTTTTTGAGGCTACCAGTACCCTTTGTATTTTCCAAAAAAAAGGTTGTATTTTGCAAAAGGGAAACCAAAAGGAAAGCCGCCCAGATCCCTGCCGCTTGCCAATTGAGTCGCAGCCTTGGGCTCCGGTGTCGGTGCGGCGGCCGCTTTGGCCTAACCGGTGGCCCAAAACCCGAGCCGTGAATATCCGAAGCTGTTTGACAAAAAAACGCCAACCAAGGGTTAACACCCAAAAAGACAAGCGAGTGTTGACCGTGGCTCGTCTTTCTCGCCTTCGGCTTCTCCGGCGTCGTCTCCGGCGCGGGAGGCGCGTCTGGCACTTTGGTCAGTGATCAAACACGGCAGGGTGGTCCCGAAAATTTTACCCGCGGGGAATGCTGCACCCCACGGGAAGTGTTTGCAAATACACACGGAGATCTGGAACCCGCCAGCTTTCGAGTGTTGACAAACGAAACTCCCGGCACGGCTTCTCGTTCTAGCCCGCCTGCCGCGTGGGCCGCGTCCCTTACCTGCGACGAGACGGGCACGACCCATACCCTGAAAGAAGCGGAGATTTGGTCGTATGGGGCTCTCAATGTGGTTGGAGCCTTAACCAAGCATTCCGAGTTGGTGTTCCGCGTCCAGCAGCCCTTGTTTAATCAAGCTGCCAATCACATGACTTGCACCACCTCAAAAAAAGACACGTCAAAAAAAAAAACACGTCTCTAAAACCGGCTCCCGCTAAAAGCCATCCAGAGCCTTCTTGGCGGCGCGCTTCTTGGCACTCTTGGACCTAAGCCATGGGTCAGAAGCTCAGAAGCCCGTACCCCCAGTAAATCCCAATCCAACCACTAAAATAGACTACAATGGGTGGTGAATTCACCTACCCCCAAATGGCATTGGTTTTGACCCACAGCCAGATGTTGGACTGCTGAAATCGCCCTTTGCTTGGGGACACTGCGCGAGGCAAAGGAAAACTGGAAAAACCTTCAATCGACTGTGACAAATGCAATGGGTGATCCTTCTGACAAAATAAATTGGAGGACCCTGGTGTTTGCAGGGAAGCGCTACCCAGTCATCAACAATCTGATCCAATCTGCTGAGTCAAGCTGAGTCCCGGTCAGCTCGCCAGCCTGCAATCGTGTCAGGCAAAGCTTGCTTGGAGCAAAGGGACAGAAATACTTCGCCATAATTCCTTTGCTCGACCCATGCGTCTTTCCCGTCCTGGTCGGCCATTGCGGAGAGAGGGCGGTGAAGGCACAGAACGGGGGCCAAAACTTCAGCACAAACTTGAGCCAAAGCGCGACGTATCAAGCACTGGCTCCAAGTTGCCTTTCCTTCGCCAAATTAAAACATGTTGAACTTGGCAGTGAGCGCTCTAGCAATCAAATCTGGCCGTACCCTCAAAGCTGCTCGTTGGAGATGCAAAGCCTGCCTCTTGGTATAGGTACTTGGTTTTCGCGCCACCCCACACCTTGGCCGCGGTGCTCGCCCCGGAGAAGAAGCGCCAGCTTGGTGTTCAGCGCAGCAGGGTTCTGGGTCATTTGGGTTCCCCTTGCCCCCCTTGCCTGTGATTAAACTGGTCTTCACCTGGTTACAACCGGTTACCTTGGTCTTTGCCGTCTTTACCTGCTTACCACACGGTGGCTTCCATACCCCAAGGCGACTTCCCACCCCAACCCCCCCACCCTCCACCCCCACCCTCCACCCCCACCCCCACTCCCGTGGCCCCGTCCCCTCCGTTTCCCCGTTGTAGCCCCGCCTTCTCGCCGGCCAGAGTGAAGCTCTTCTCGCAGGGCGCTTCCAGGGAGATCAGCCGCACCTCGGAGATGGCGGAATTTTCAAAGATTTCACCCTGAAATCAGGTGGTTTATGGGAGATTCCAACCACATAAAACCCACCATTTGGGGTCAGGTCGTGTAGGTGGTTTGGGGAATTCGTGTATTTGGCCCTGGTGAACATCAAAATAGGATGGACGTTCATCCACCCCACAATGGAGCCATAGGTCATGCCCCATGGCCATTTCACCAACCTGAAATCAGGTGGTTGGAGGGAGATTCCAAGCACATCAACCCACCATTTTGGGGTGCTTCATGGTCGTGTGAGGTCGTTATAATTCACCCAGACGAATTGACCGGGCGACTCAGAGGCCACAAGTTTCCTTCGCGGAGTCGAACGCCAACCTTGGAAAGGGTAGGCTTGCTGTCGAGCAGGGAGAGCAAGTGGGAAGACAAGTGTGGGGAGTCAGGAGACAAGCCGTGACAAGGTCCGAGTCGCCAAGCACAAAAGGGGGAGGGAGACAAGCCGCGACAAGGTCCCTGGATGTCGGGGAGCAATTCTTTGCATGAGCTAAACCAGCATCGACCCCAAGCAGCAGTAGCGCACGTCAGCTAGTTTCATATCTGGGCAACCAAGTCAAGCTACCAAGTCAAGGGCAAGACATTGCCTTGCATGAATTAGGTGCAAAGAACGAGGACCAACCAGTCGGGCAACCAACCGTTATCACTAAGTTATTTCGCAGCTTTGCGTTCCTGCAACTTGTGAATGGCTTTCAGGAACTATCTTCATCTCTACATCCTGTTATTACTGTAATCTTTGAAATCTTTGAAGTGGTACAGCTTGGAGATAACCGTCGATATTGGAGAGTCTTATCTCTTGTCCATTGGATTTCTTTAACAATTTCTGGATTCATAAGTTGCTTTCCTGTGTCTCAGAGATAAAGAATTATGACACAGCATAAGATAGAAATATTAATGACTCAAGAATTTATCCCTTGTATCAGCTATTAATTCCTAGATTTACAAAATATCCAAAATGTAAACATAAAGTAAAAGGAAGTATAAAAGCATGTAATCCTAAGAAGAATGTGTTATGAATGAAAGGACAATGTGAAAAGACGAGAATTAGAAGTAAAAAGGTAAGAAGAGGAAGAGAAGAGGCGAGGTGACCAATGGATCAGCCAATATGCTGTGTCACCTCTGTATCTCTTCCCTACACCCTTACCATTCAATACTTCCAGGATTTAATAGTTGGCAGTGATAGAGAGTGAAGGAAGTGAGAGACGGTGGCATTCCTTTCTAGTCCTCATGCCATCTTATTGTTTATCTTCTCCAAATTGTCTTTATTAGAAGCTTTTGGTGGTTACTAGAGGATTCTTCCATTGGCTGCAAACCTATTAATTCCCATTCACAGTCTGTGGTCTAATGAATTCTTCACTTTGGGGCAGCAACCACCTAATAAAACCAAATGTATTAACTCACGGTCAAGCACTTCTATAATTGGGATTACATGGCATGGGAAATAGAATCCTATCTGTGATGGCAATAATAAAGTGGCTTGAAGAACAGTAATAAAAAGAGAAGAATTATGCAGCATATAACCGTTCCCTCGCTTCCTTCGGTCTCTCTTTCCCAACCTCAACCACCAGCCACAAGGCGGTGACACATAGAGAATGGAGGTTGGCCATCATTTCCCGGATCTTTATGTGTCTTGTCTTTGTTGGAGGATCCGGGATTATGAGAGTTGGCTAAGGAATGAATCTTGGGTCGGCTTCTAAGCCTGGATTCTACAGCTTGGGAACGAACGAAGAGAGAAGGGAAAGGTGTCCAGGAGATAGGACATTGGGTGGCTGGTAAGAAGAGCCTGATGTGAGACCAGCCAATATTAACCCGTGATATCTTTCCCGTCCGTTCACCTTGTTCACTCACCCCTTCCCCAGCTCATGGACTCGCTGGTAGGAAGGGAAGCATGAAGAGATAATGATAGACTGGATCTCCAGGAACCGCCTCTAGGCAAGAGATCCAGATGAGTGAGTGAAAGAGATGAATGAAGACAGATGGATGAATGAAGAACGAAAGGAATGGACTCAGAGGTAAACGGCTAGAAGCATTTATTACATGGAAAGAAGACTCTCTAATATAAATGAATGACACAGGATGGTAAGGGATAAATAACCTAATGTAATTCCCTTTAATCTGAGTCTTTGGAATCTTTGGCAGCATCTGGATGGATTTGTAAGTGATAAAAGCCTTGAAAATAAGGTGATGATTCATAAGGAAAAGATCATAAAGAAAACCAAAAAAAAAAAGATAGGAAAAAGAGATGATTCTTTGGGTTATTTGACAGTGATAGAAGGGAAAGATAAGAAACCCAACAAAGAAAGATATTATTGTAAGCAAAAAGACAGATAACAGCTAATAAAAGATTCAAGCATGTGCTATAAATAACGCAAAGCGCATTTGCCACCTATACGTGTCCCTGCCACGAAGCCAGGAGATCAGTAGGAAGACAAGTGGGAGTCAAGCAGGAAGACAAGTCGGGAGACAAGTCGGCAAGTGGGGAGAGAATACAAGGAAGCGCAAGCTTGCAAAGGTGTACACGCTTGGCAGCTAGTTTCAGTGTGGCGTGTACAGCTTGTACAAGCCCAGGAGAGATGTGAATATACATGCACCCGCTGCTCTTTTGGCTAAACAGGCCTTGAGCTTCCATGTACACAGCCCGGTAACAAGGAGAGCGACAGTGCCCTGGCCGCCACATACAGGTATTAGGTTTACACGGTCACAAGTTCTAAGTTCACATGGAGCTTGACAATACATACATATATATATATATATATATGTCTGTATACATGCATACATACATACACGTTAAACATATATACATACATGTAAATATGTTTGCCCACAAGCCTACCCTGCCCCCCCAACTCGCAGACCGCCTCCGAGGTGATCCTTCCCACCATGCCCATGAAGACCAGCTTGGCCGGCATCTCGGCGAAGTGAAAAACGCCCCAGGCCCCCCCCCCCGTTCCCCAGACCCATCTTTGAAAAAGCCCAAAGAACCCGCCCGGAACCCACCCCAAAATGCCAAGGAGAAAATCAACCCACCAACTACCCCCAGGCCGCCAGAGACCCAAGATTGGCTGCGACCCCATGCTGTCGCCACCGGCTAAAAGGCAAAAAGCACAACCTCCAGAACCCTGGCCCGGACCCCAAAGCGGTCAGCGGTTGGGAAAACTCGGCGCCCAAAAGCGAAGCCGCTCGCGAGCTTGGCCTCAGTCTCTGAGAAGTCGCCAGTTTCCAAGCAGGCGAAGTCCTGCAAAGCGTGAAATCAAACCTCGACATGCCTGAATGCAAGGCTCCTGTTGACCGTTGATGGAGACCAATCGGTCACCAGCTTGGACACCAGCCTGAGTGATTGAAAACGCCTGTCAGTCAAGGAACACTCAACGGTAGTGCAGACACTTACTTCTTGTGCAGGGTGTCGCAACCGCCCAAATCACCGCCCAAACTGTTTGGCCCTTCAAGAAAAGGTCGCAAGTTCGGACACTCGAACCAGGTCTTTGCTCCCTGACCACTGATTCCATGCAACCGCCAGCCCCTCGAAATGAACCAACTGCTTGGGCCCCCCCGCCCGATCGGCCGGCCCTGCAGGGCTCACGCTCAGAACCACGGCGCCGGACCGACGGAAGCCTGGAAAGAGGTTCGCCGCGCGCGTGGGCTGCGGAAAGGAGTTCTTGGGGAGACCGGTAGGGTGGGCGAATCCTCTGTACAGACTTTCCTGGGTTGTCAATCCTCTGCAAGAAATGTCCTGCTCGGTTTGTGTGAAACCCGAAGTGCCCCAGACCAAATTTGTGCCGGGGGCTTTCAACCCTGAGATCTCACGAAAACTGGTCTTGGGATGTGAAGGGGCAAGAGGGGATAGGGGCGAGGTCCTCAATCCCATCCGCAGAGATTGGAACGAATGGACTTCCGGGGGCTCCACCCGGCCGCAATTCTTGGGGTGAATGGGCGAATTCACTCGACGCATTCCTCCCACCCACGCCTCGCAGCACAAAGTCGGCCTGCAAGGCAGCACCTCATGGGACGAAAAGCACGCAACCGCTCTTTCCTTCAATGAGGTAGAAGCTGCGAATAAAAGTCTTCCCACCAAGTAACATGGAACCTGACAGGAACCCAGTCCCCTTCAAGGGACAATGCTCTTCCCCCCCCCGTGCCAGGCTCCATGTTAACCGTTGGAACTCATAGGAGACCCCAGGGAAACCCTTGAAAAACCCTTCAAAAAACTCGTAGGAAACCCAAGGGGAAACCCCAGAAAAACTGGTGGGACCTCGAAAACGCACTGGGCGCTGGGCTGCTGATGTAGCAGACCAGCTTGGCGACGAGGCCTCCCCGCGGGATGAGCTTTGATTCGAGCAGTTTCGAGGGCCAGCAGCTACAAAAAGGGACGGGGTATGGAGAAAGCGGTAACTTTGGTTGGTGGTTAGAGAGGTTGGTGATTCTTCTTAGGATAGGTGGTATGTAGAAAATGGCGGGCTAAATGTTGACCCCATGTTGATCGACCCCAGCTTAGTAATAGGGGTGTGGGGGTGTTCCCTTCCAAAAGTCTGATTCCGGCCACTCAACCCAGGTTGACACCCCCCCTAATAATAACTGGGGTTGATTCATTCAACATTACCCTGGTGTTAAGGACTTAGGTTGTCTAACCATATGGTTCACCACTTGAGGGCAACCTCTCTCACGGCTCGCGCTCCTGCTTTCCGGCGGTGCATCTCCCAGCTCTGCTCCTGGCAAACGAGGCAAACGAGGCCAACGCGGCCAACGCGGCAAACGCTCGGGGCCTCTGCGTCGGAGAGCGAGGCATCCTCCGCGAAGCAGCCCTCACCTCCTGGCCAAAAGGCACATGAAATCAACGAGTTGATTTCCTCGAACGGGTGTGGCTCAAAATTAAAGAACTAGGGTTACACAGGTTTTAGGCATCCATTCCATTTGCCAAGGTGCCATTTTGATACATGTCTTTGAGCCTTTCCCAAACCGGTTTGACACTCGCATCTGACGTCTGTTCTACCCCCACTTGGTGCTCTACAAAACTCCACGGGTTAGCAATGCCGCCAGGGCATCTGTCCTCGGCAGACCTTGACCCTCGCCGCGTGCGGTCTGTGCGGGAACTCCTGGTCTCCCGAACGACCAGCATTTCATGAGTTCATGTGCACGTCTGCATGCCTGAATCTTGTCAGCGTGGCCATGAGTCAAAATCCCGTACCCCCAGTGAAGGTGCACCTACCCCAACATGGTAGCATTGGTGTTGACCCACAGCCACATCGAGCTAGGGGGCCAGGCCGGCACGTAGGCACACCGCTGCAGTGGCCTGCACAAAAGCAAACACCGGGGAGCCAACAGCCGACGGGACGGAACTTGGAGCGCGCCTTTGCCGTTCGCGATAGGTCGCCCTCAGTCCGGAGAAACATACGTCGAGCCCCGAGCTTTGCGTCAAATTCTGAACCTCTTGCAAGCCCCAGTTGGGGGTGGCTTCCCATGTACCCTCTACAAGAAGGGGCTCGTTGCTTCCAAACCAATCCAAACCACCTGGCGTGGCAAAGTCGCCTTTTTTGGTCCCCGGCGAGCTGCGGCTCTGCGTATCCTCCCTTTCCTGACGCTCGACAGCTCATGCTGATCCCTACCCATAGGTTGTTTTGTTGTCTCCTGGATGGCTGCGTTTTCATACAGGACAATGGCCCTTGCTTGGTGTTCAGTAACTTTGTGGTCGGTTGGAGTGTAGAGAATTTCGAGTGGGTGCTGGCTATGTGGTGAGCTTAAGTTGGCGATTTCGGGTGTGTTGGTTGGTCGGTGGGAGTTGGGTTGGTTTGGATTAAGGATGTATTGGGATAGATTTTGGCGGGATTGGCTCAGGGTGGGCTCAGGTTGGAAAACCAGAAGACCGGCGCGAAATCCGAACATCGCCAAAGCCAAGAAAGCCCGAGAACAGTAAGAACTGGTTTGTAGAGACAAAGCTGAAGTATCCTGCCCTCCCACGAACATGCCACCTGACAGGGTTCCATTTGAAGAGCAAACAACAGGGGTCCTCACATTTTACACCTGAACATTGCTGGAAAAAGCCATGTTTCAACTGGGCAAAATGTATCTTTTAAGGAGCCCTGAACAAAGAAAGCGGAAAGCGGCAAAAGGCCGCAAAACACGTCATGGCCCGACCCGCGACCCGCTCACCTGCAGGCTCCGCAAGGCTTCGTGAGCTGCCGCGTGCGCGCGGCACCGGTCTGCCCAGGACCAGGTTTGCAGCATCGACTGGCGCCAGTGGCTCACCTTGCGAGGCGAATGCCAAGGGACGTGGTACATTTTGATGGGCAGACCCGGATTGGTGGACTTCATTTAGAAGGGGATTCATTTCCACCAACCACTTTGGAGGGCTATGTAACCTCATGGCCTTGCGCTCTATGTTTGCCACATCCCTAAACCACAGAGGTTGACATGATTCCACATTAAACCTCTAGGTGAACTGAAACAACGAAGACGGAATGTTTGCTTCTGCTCCGGATTTCCAACACCTCCCTATGTTCCGCGGTCGGGCCTTCAGCATGCTGCAGCTGGCCCAGACATGGTCAGGCAGGTCCTGGACATGTTTCGTGCAGACTGTACCCCTCCAAATACCTGCAACCAATCGTTGGACCCCTTAACCAATCTTTGGACCCAACCAACCTTTGGACCCCAAAACTAAGAGATAGAGGCTCAAAATAGGGTGTTGCCATCGTCAACCCCTGAATAAGGAGGATGTGCTCTGGCCCCTCGGATTTGTTTACAACGCCATACCTGGGTTTGCAGCTTACCAAATCAAGCAGCAGAAGTGCCCCATGCATCAAATAAGATCTTCACATAACGTTCCAACAAGTGAGCACATTGGACCTGACCGCTTTTGGAGTAAAAACACACTGGCTACCCTGCCTCCCACGTTGCCATGGCACCTGTGGGGAGGTACCTGGATTATCAATTTCCTTTTGGAGGCACCCCCTGTCAGGTGCCACGTTACTGGGAGGGAGGGCACATATTTTTTGGTAAATGGGTGTGGCTCAAAATTAAAGAGCTAGGGTTACGCAAGTTTTAATCTTGGTTCCATTTGCCAAGGGTGCCATTTTGGCACATGTTTTTGAGCCACAGCCAAATGGTTGTAGATGGATTCTGAATCTTGGCGTAGGACCCCTGTCCAGCTCATAACCAATGGCCCATTTAGGGGTATACGGCCATGGGTCAAAACCCAAATCGTACCCCCAGTGACCATCCGATTCAATCCTATAGGAAGCCTAAAATGACCAATCCCCACCAAAATGGTTGATCCCAAATAGGTTCTGAAATGGGTGGTGAATTCACCTACCCACCAAAATGGTTGATCCCGTTTAACGGTTTTGACCACCACAGCCAAAGAGGGACCAGACAGGCACTCAGTCCTGACCACCTCCATACCAGCCCCACGCTTCCGGAGACGAATCGTCATCCATGGCCCATGGCCCGCGGTTAAAATGTCGGCTCTGTGTTTGCCTCTCGGCGCAGTTATGTTTGGTGTTCCCTAATACCAGTTAGCACCTACAACCGCTTTTTCCAACCCAAAAAAAAAACGTCCAAAAAAGCAGTCCTTGGGGGCTGGTGTACATAGATATATCTTGGGCAACTGACAAGCCATGCCTGGGGGCAAAAATGGGACATAAGCGAACTGGCGTGAAGGGATCACACTAATGCGCTGCCTTCTTAGCTCGGTGGGTTCTTCCAGCAGGCTCTGTCAGACTCCTAATCCCAGCAGCTTGATAGAAATGATGGAATGAAAGGCAGACTGGCACACATTTGGCTGTGGTGGTCAAAAACAGGGCAACCCCAAAATGGGTTGCCCTGGTAAATGGAACCAAGGACTAAAACCTGCGGTCCATATCCTGGTGCTCAATTTTGACCCATACCCATTTCACGAGTAGCCACAAAGCCTGTGCCAATTACACCTATTCACTCACCCACTCGCTGGCTCGCTCACACTCACACTGGCGCCCGCACTCACACTCACTCTCACTGTCACTCACTCTCACCCTCTCTTTCGCTCACTCTCACTCTTATCACTCATCAAGGGAAGCATGCCCTTTTACATGGGACATCCACCCCCCTGCCCCCCCCCTCTTACTCAAACACTTATAAATCCTGCATTGACTGCAACTCGTAATGCGGGCAATAAACTGACAGTTAAAGATGATGTACAAAAACCGCTTACGCGACCCCATCCCTATGTGTCACTTTCCTCGCACCAAGTGGCACACCAACCGTCAGGCCTGGAAACCAAGAATGTAAATCGGGGCTTGGACCCCCAAAATAATTGTGATGCTTCTTCTGCTGTCCCTTTTCAACCAACCCCAAAAATGCGCTCACCGTGAGCGAGCCTGACGGTTGGGTTTGCGGATCTCCCGCGGTGCATTTGCATGGCCGGCCGTGGCAGGCGTAGCGACACGTGGAACGCGTGCAAGTTCATCGACAGTGAAGCACACGCGGGTGTCAATGAACTAGGGGACCCAGGTTGTTCCTTTTCACACTTTACAACCCAGGAAGGGCAGAATCCGCACAAAGTTTACAAGCAGAGGCGTTTGCAACTAATGAGAAAGACACGTGAAAGGCCACAGCTGTTGCTGGTGACTCAAGAGTGACACAAAAGTTATTGAAAAGGTGTCTACAAACGAAGCCAACTTTGCACAAGAATAGAATTGTGCAAAGTAGCAGGAGTTCTGCATTGTGCTCCAGACAACTCAAGGGGTGAAATTCGACGCTCTCAGGAGTGTCAACGATCACAGCCGCTCTGGAACCTGCGCATGCCATGCCAAGCTGTCAAACACTCCTTGTCCCTTCTGAGAACAGGCCCATTCGAGATGCATGGTCTATTGAAACGTGGCTGGTGCGTCTTTTGTAATTGCGGACCCTTCGGTGAACACCATTTAGGTGGCGGTTCCTGTCCAGCAACCATTTTGAGACCTATTCCAAGCCAGTCTTGTGTGCACAAGCCCTCGGAATATCGGAGTCTAAGCGCAGCACAAGTCGATGCCACAGAGGCCCGCGCTCTTGCGACGTTTGCCCTGGGCAGAATTTCTCGGGGTGGGACCTGCAGGGAAGGGCCTGAGGAGGGGAAGTGGTTCAACAGGCCGGCAGCTCGCTGAACCTGGGCACCGTGTCGACCTGGCCAAAGAGAGAAGATGGCTAAACGGCACCCGAAGAGACTCTTTTTGCCCTTTCAGATCAATATGGCTGTGGTCAAAAAACAAGAGGAAAATCCCCAACATGGTGGTTTGCCCTTTCAGCTCAATATGGCTGGGGTCAAAAAATGAGGAATTTTTCCCAACACGGTGCGGCTTTGGTGCATGGAAAGGACGAACACCTGTGGAGTCCATACTCCGGTGCAATGTTGACCCACACCCATATGGCCATGGGTCAAAATCCCCTTTCCCCCCAGTGAACATCCAATTCAATCAAACCACTAAAAAAGGTCCTAAATGGGTGGCTGGCCTCCGGCTGAGACCTGGGAGAACTCGGAGTGGGAGGCCTCGCGAAATGTTTCTCAAATGGACCGTGACTCCAGCTCAATGGGTCCATCTCCCCCCTTCTTTTTGAATGGGTTCCAAACCTACCTGGAGGAATCCACCTACCTGGAGGGGTGCCCAACTTTGAGAGAAACACCCAAATGGCCATGAAATGTTGAAATGGGGATTATGGTGGACCTGGTTTGTGGTTTGATGTCCAACCACTTTTCAGAGGGTTCCTCATTCAATTTTCACGGCCAAATGGCCATGGGTCAAAATCCTTATTACTACCCCTAGTGAACATCCCAATCCCCACTAAAATATGTTCTAAACTGGGTGGTGAATTCACCTAGCCCAAAATGGGATCCCAAAACGGCTTTGACCCGCAACCAAATGAGTCACAATCAAACCCCGGTAGAAAAATAATTGACCCAGAACCATGTAAGGAAATACGCGAGAAACTGCCGCTCGCTGCTCCGAGGCCCAGGCTGGGCTTGCGCTTCCACGCGGACGCGCTCCACCAAGCGCTTGGCCTCGAGAGACGCTTCCGACGGTCAATGGCCCAAACTGGGCCAAGCGCACTTCCAGTACCAAGGCGTGCGATGTGTGTGTGTGTGTGTATTATATATGTATATATATACATATATATATATATATATATGCATACACATACATATATATATATATATATATGCATATACATATATATATATATTATACACATGTGTGTGTGTGTGTCCATTTGCAGTGTAAGCGGTGTATGCGTCTGTGTGTGTGCTTTTTAGGCTACCTTTGGCAGGCAAGGGCTCAGCTCTCCCGATTGTGAACTCACAAATGGACAGCTCAGCTCCCGCCTCCTGTCCCCGAAGCTCGTAGACTGCTGCAACCTCGGCCGCCTGCGTCGGTTTCGGAACGAAGCCGAGAGCACACCGCAAACTCCCAAGACAATGTCACTAAGCCATTTGAGTCACCCCCAACCCGGTATTAATTAACATGGTCTACTATCCCTTACTACCCTCCAATTAGCCGGGGTTTGGATTGTGACTCATCTGACTGTGGACACGTTTGCTTTTTCCCGATATCCTAAGGCGCCTTTGCAGCTCGGGGGGTAGTGAGCCCCACCATGCCATCGGTAGCCTTGAGGCATTTTGTTGCATGCCGTTGCCAGAAAGCGGCGCTTTGAGGCGAGGGCAGCTCTCTGGAGACTCGTGTCGCCTTGCCGTCTCAACAAATCCTATACCAATCTCGTCACATTCAAACAACCGCAAAAACAAAAAAAACGGAGAAGACACGCCTCTGGGCTGGTCCAACCGTGCGACGTCTTCTGAAACTTCGCACAAGAAACGCGCCACGCGCCTTCCGTCGCATGCGCGGTGTCCTGCACGATGGACGCGAGCTCAGCCTGGGTGAACTCTGGGCTGAGGTCCTGTGCGAGCTTGCGCCGAGCCTGCGTCCCCTTCGGAAGTTGGCCATGAGTCAAAAGCCCGTACCCCCAGTGAACATCCCAATCCCCATTAGACTAGGTTCTACAATGGGTGGTGCAAGCCCAAAATGGGATCCCATTGGTCTTGGCCCACAGCCAGTAGAGTTGCATTCCCCTTGTCCAGTCCAACGACATGCAAATTGTGACGAACCCCATGTTCCAGTGGTAGTTTGGGGCTCGTGTGAACCATGTCGTCCCCAGTACAGCAGTAGATGACGGCAAATACGGCTGTGCGCGTCAAAAAAGGATTTGATCCCCCAAAAAAATGAAACAAGAATGTGGTCTTCTTTGGATTTCGCCTGGAAAGGGTACCCTGAAGAAAAAATAAACCCATATTGACCGAACCCCACATAGCAAAGGTCCTGAAACTCATCGATCTCGGACACATCCCCAGTGTCACCGGGCAGCGAATGCAACACGGACCTGACGTCGCGTGCTAAGCAGCATTCGGCGGCTGCATCGATGTGGACAACTGAATGAATGAGCGAATGTTATGAATGAATGAATGAATGAATGAATGAATGAATGAATGAATGAATGAATGAATGAATGAATGAATGAATGAATCAATGAATGAATGAATGAATGAATGAATGAATGAATGAATGAATGAATGAATGAATGAATGAATGAATGAATGAATGAATGAATGAATGAATGAATGAATGAATGAATGAATGAATGAATGAATGAATGAATGCAATGAATGAAAGCAATGAATGAATGAATGAATGAATGAATGAATGAATGAATGAATGAATGAATGAATGAATGAATGAATGAATGAATGAATGAATGAATGAATGAATGAATGAATGAATGAATGAATGAATGAATGAATGAATGAATGAATGAATGAATGAATGAATGAATGAATGAAGAATGAATGAATGAATGAATGAATGAATGAATGAATGAATGAATGAATGAATGAATGAATGAATGAATGAATGAATGAATGAATGAATGAATGAATGAATGAATGAATGAATGAATGAATGAATGAATGAATGAATGAATGAATGAATGAATGAATGAATGAATGAATGAATGAATGAATGAATGAATGAATGAATGAATGAATGAATGAATGAATGAATGAATGAATGAATGAATGAATGAATGAATGAATGAATGAATGAATGAATGAATGAATGAATGAATGAATGAATGAATGAATGAATGAATGAATGAATGAATGATGAAGTGAGTGAATGAATGAATGAATGAATGAATGAATGAATGAATGAATGAATGAATGAATGAATGAATGAATGAATGAATGAATGAATGAATGAATGAATGAATGAATGAATGAATGAATGAATGAATGAATGAATGAATGAATGAATGAATGAATGAATGAATGAATGAATGAATGAATGAATGAATGAATGAATGAATGAATGAATGAATGAATTAATGAATGAATGAATGAATGAATGAATGAATGAATGAATGAATGAATGAATGGATGGATGGATGGATGGATGCATGCATGATTGAATGAATGAATGAATGAAGGCAGGAAGGAAGGGAGGAATGAATGAATGAATAGATGAATGAATGCACGAATGAATGAATGAAGGAATGAACGACGAAACAAATGAATGAATCAATGGATGGAAGGCATGGAATCAATGGAATCAATGGAATGAATGTAAGACATGGAATGAAAAGGGAAGGAAGGGAATGAAGGAATAAAGAGAATGAAGGAATGATTGGAATGAAGATGAAATGAATGGAATGAAGTGAACGAATGGAATGAATGGAACGAATGGAACGAATGGAATGAATGGAGCGAACGGAATGAATGGAATGAATGGAATGGAATGAAGGAGATAAATGCAATGAAGGGAATGAAAAAGAATTAAACCACCTGAAATGAAATGACGAGAAAATTGAATGTGGAACAAAATGGTATAGAATGAAGTGAAATGAAATGACATGAAATGAAATGAAATGAAATGGAATCAAATGAAATGGAATCAAACGGTATAGAATGAAACCAAATGGAATGGAATGACACAAATATTGAATGGAACAAAATGCTTTGTAGAATGAGCTGAAGTGAAGTTGAATGAAGTGAAATGACATGAAATTAAAGAAAATGGCATTAAATGGTATAGAATGAAATCAAACGAAATGATATGAAATGACATGAAACGACATGAAATGAAATGAAATGAAATGACATGAAATGACACGAAACGACGTGAAATGACATGAAATGACGTGAAATGACGAGAAATGTCATGAAACGACATGAAATGACATGAAATGACATGAAATGACATGAAATTGGCAAAATACCTGAATGACTACGGAATAGCTTACTAGCTTACTAAGCAACCAAGTAGCCAAGTAACCAACTAACCAGCAAGCTAGCTGACGACCGACCGCTAGCCGGCTCACCAAGGAACTAGCTAGCTAGCTAGCTAGCTAAGTTAGCTGAATAACCAACTAACTAGCTAGCTAGCTATCTAAGAAACCGACTAGCTAGCTAACGAGCTAGGTAGCAAACCAACTAAGTAAGTAGCTAGTTGGCTAACTAGCTGACCAAGTAACTAACTAGCTAGCTAGCTAACTAACAAAATAACTAGCTAGATAGCCAACTAACCAACTAGACAACTAACTAGCCAGCTGGCAAGCTAACTAGCCAACTAGGCAACCGACTATCTAGCTAGATAACTAGATAGCTATCTAGCTAGGCTCCTAGCGAATTAATCAAGTATCTAATCATCTTGCTGGTTGGCTAACTAGCTAACTGACTAGCCCTAACTAAACAACTGACTAGCTAGCCACATAACTAGCTAACCAACCAAGCAGCTATCTAGCTAGCTAGCTAGCTATCTAACTAGCTAACTAAATAGCCAGCTGGCTAACTCGTCATTAAGTAACTAACTAGCAAGCTAGCCAACTAGCTAGCCAAGTAACAAAATAATTAACTAGCTGGCTAGCTGGCTAGCTAGCTAGTGTCTCATTGACTGACTGACTGACTGACTGACTGACTGACTGACTGACTGACTGACTGACTGACTGACTGACTGACTGACTGACTGACTGACTGACTGACTGACTGACGGACCGACCGACCGACCGACTGACTGACTGACTAAGTAGCACACACACCAACTAACTAACCAACTATCTAGCTAGCTTGCTAGCTACCTTGCCAACTGGCTACCTGGCTAGCAGGCTAGATCACGAAGCAAGTCACTCACGAGCTAGCTGACTACCTGACTTCCTGAATAACAAACACACTAACTGGCAAACTAACCAAGTAACAAACTAGCCAGCAACCTAGCTAACGAACCAAGTTACTGACTAACTAACTCACTAAACTAACTAACTAACTAAATCACTAACTCACGAACGCACTAACTGACTAACCAACTAACTAACTGACTGACTGACTAACTAAAGATTTAACTTTAACTATCTTTCTCTAGCTCACCAACTAACCAACGAACGAACTAGCCAACGACTCTCAGCTAAGTAGCTCACTAACCAACAAACAAATAGACAAACAAACAAACAAACACACAAACAAACAACAAACAAACAAACAAGCAAACAAACAAACAAACAACTTACTTACTTACTTGCTTACTTGCTTACTTACTTACCTACTTACTTACTTACATACTTGCTTACTTACTTACTTACTTTAATTTACTTGCTTACTTTAATGTACTTACGTACTTACTTACTCACTTACTTACTTCCTTGCTTATTTACTTGCTTGCTTACTTACTTACTTACTTTTTACTTACCCACTTACTTCCTTACTTACTTACTTACTTACTTACTTACTTACTTACTTACTTACCTACTTTACTTACTTTACTTACTTTACTTACTTTACTTACTTTACTTACTTTACTTGCTTACTTTACTCACTTTACTTACTTTACTTACATACCTTACTTACTTTACTTACTTTACTTACTTTACTTACTTTACTTACTTTACTTACTTTACTTACTTTACTTACTTTACTTACTTGACCTACGTTACTTACTTTACTTACTTTACTCACTTTACTCACTTTGCTTGCTTGCTTGCTTGCTTACTTACTTCCTTACTTTATTTACTTTACTTACTTTTTACTTACCCACTTACTTCCTTACTTACTTTCCTTGCTTTCCTTGCTTTCCTTGCTTTCCTTGCTTTGCTTGCTTTGCTTACTTTCCTTACTTTACTTACTTTACTTACTTTACTTACTTTACTTCCTTCCTTCCTTACTTGCTTGCTTGCTTGCTTGCTTACTTACTTACTTACCTACGTACGTACTTACTTTTATACCTACTTACTTACACACTTACTACCGAATTGACTAACTATCCAAACAAGCAAGCTGAGCCAGCTAGCTAGCTGGCTTGGCATGCGGTGAAACCTCATTCTCTCAGCCTCTGGCTGCGCAGGAGCCTCCACCGCCAGCAGCAAAGGGGCGGTGCTCGGCTGGAAGACCACCTCTTCGATCACCTCTCGGCCGGCGAGAAAATCACAAGCTCTCCAATTGGCCATGGGTCAAAACCCCCACTACCCCCAGTGAACATCCCAATCCAACCACTAAAAACAGACTAACATGGGTGGTGCACCTACCAACCAAAATGGCACCATTGGTGTTGACCCACGGCCAATTGTCTGTGCGCACACCAAAAATGTCATCTGGGGGTTGATCAATATTCCCTTCACCGAAATGGCCATGGGCGACTTCTCACATTTAGCGGTGAATCCTTTTGGGTGGCTTCCCTTGATGGTCATCCCATATAAAGGACCTATTGATCAACCTGCCTCCCATCTCTGTCTGACCTGCTCCCCTTCAATGTGCCAAAAGTCCAATCTGTAGTGGTGGAAACTAACAAACAACTGAAAGCCTAAAAACCTGACAGGATGGCTGGGAACCACCAAGAAATGTGCCTGCAGTTCATCTAGACCCATACTCCTGCGATGTTTTTGGTCCATAACCTCGCACGTTTGTTTCACTAAACCTGGTGTCCGAGTGAGGATCGGCCTGCAAAGGTGCGCCCGGTCTCCCTAGAGGGATGGGCACCTGCGAGCGGAAGGCAAGTGTCAACGTGGCGAACGGCCAGATGGCTGTGGTTGTCAAAACCGTTTTGGGATCCCATTTTGGCTGAAAGATGAATTCACCACCCATTTTAGCACCTATTTTAGTGGTTGGATTGAATCGGATGTTCACTGGGGCTACGATTTGGCTTTTGACCCATGGCCCCCATGGCTCTAAGGCCCCAAGAAGCGAGCGGCAATCGGGCGCCTTGGAGTCCAGACCACAACAGCTCTCCTCACGTGAGAGACGATCCAAGGTGACACACCCCGAAACTTCGGGCACGCACCTGACGCACCTGATGGCCCAAACGACGCGAGCCGCGTCCTTGCTGCTCAGCCGGACTTCTGCGTGCCACTTGCCGATGAAGCCCAGGAAGACCAAGGTGACAGGCGCTCGCAACCTCGTGGCGCAACTGGACCCGTGCCTTGCTCTTTGCAGATGCCCTGCAAGGGAAATCGCCACATGGCTGTGGGTCAAGAATAGGAATCCCCAAAATGGGTTGCCCTGGTAAATGGAAACAATGACTAAAACCTGTGCTCCCCTGCTGTTTCAATTTTGACCCATACCCACATGCCGAAAACTTCGCAACTGCACGTCGAAGGCATGCAAGTGGGGCCCCCTGCCTGTACAGGATGTCGTCAGCGCAAAGCCCGGCAAAGTCCTTGCAACTGGGACAAAAAAGCCTTCAACCACTTGGCAAGTTGGTTTTCCATAGCTTGGCCTTGCGAATCAAAAAAAAAAAATCCGCCCTTAAAGGGAAGATAAACATGCGCCTTTCCTTTAAAAACATGCGCCATTTCTGCGCCTTTCTGCCGTTGATGGACACGAGCACATCACCAACCTTGACGCCGGCCTGACAAGCCAACTGCTCATCCCAAGCTTTAAGACAAAAAATTGATCAGGGCAGATTGGGGGTGGGTCTTTCGACAGGTCTTTAAAAAGGGGAGCTCCTTCTGGTGTCCCTTACCTGAAGAACCGGGGGTGGTTCCATGCGAAGTTCCCGCCGCAGGCCTGCTCCGCCTTCCCGCGCACGAAGCTCACGGCCACGCGGTGCCCGGCTCCGCCTGCGATTGATGGAGAAAAAAAAATGGTGGAAACCCCAAGGGTTTGAACGAAACCTCGTTGGGTTGGTTTGGATACCCTTAGGGTGGTTTGGGTGTACTCCTTGGTCTGTTTGGGCTACCCTTAGTTGGTGAAACCAAATGGAAACCCTTTTCGGGCTTTCGCCTGGCCGGGTCTGTTCAATCAACTGAAACCATTGGTGTTACAAGCGGGCTCGGGACCCCCATATTTCTGCATATGCTTTTGTCAATGCGTGGAAGGGACTTCTAATAGATCAAATAGATCCAAATAGTAGAACCAACTGAAACAATGGGCAATGGGGTTTCTTGGGCACTGCCCATGCTGACACGGTCAAGATTGGCTGTTCCCACAATAGACATGGTCAAGTACAAGGCTTCAGCCATATTTGTGGCTCTGATTGGGAGAGGCCCCCATATCCCTCTCAGATTCATCACTTGGTCCGTCCGTTCGCGCCGTGACCCTTAATGGACCAAAAGCTTCATAGGTTGACCAAACTCGACATGATTCTGGCAGCACGCCTAGCATGCAACCAGAAAGACTTCCACAGGGCTTCAGCCCCTTCAAGTTGTCTTGGAGATGGGAAACTGCCATATTGATTCCACAAGTTCAATGTGTGTTCACACCTCGCAATAGGAGTTCGTCTTGTGGTCGGTCACCAAGATCATAGGCAACCTCGGCATGGCGAGTTCCCGGCTGCGACTGGACGACGGGACGATGCATGATGGTGCAAAGCTGTGTGTGCATTAATTCAACTGGGGATGCTGGGTGGCATCCACTACATGGGAATGCTCATCCAATTTGAAGGGCATTCCTAGTTTGAATTCACTGCCTATGCGGACCAATCTGGGACTCCTGTGCACAAGGACGGGACGGTTGTGCACGATAGCTATGACGAGGAGCTAATCGTCCAGCCACGCCAGATCGCTGCAATCGATGATTCCATTCCTCGTCCGCATCTTGCGTAGCCTTGCGTTCAGGTCATTCTGGTGTCTCAAGATCCGGAACTGGACGCCAAAAACGAGGTTTTGTGTGTAAAGCTAACCTCAAAATTCAACTCCGACTAAAGGACCCACACATGAAAAAAGGTATGCGCAACGAGCCCCCGTACCACGCCTTTCCTGTTCGACGGAGGTCCCGGTTGGTTAGAAGCCACTACGAGAATCACAATGCCAGCACAAGACCATGCCCAAAGTGTGAGGTACTCTCGGAATTACCGTGTTACAAGAATCGGAAATGCGAACACTTGTCGGCTTCCAGACCTTGTTGGTTGCTTTTCCTGCTTTTGACGTTCTCAGGTTGCTTTTCCTCTTTTGGGGGGTCACGGAGTTAGGTCTGGGATTTAGGTTTAGGGTTTAGGGTTTTGAGGTCTAGGATTTAGGTTGAAGACTTAGGTTTAGGAATTTTGTTTAGGATTTAGGCTCAGGGTTTTTAGGTTTAAGGTTTTAGGTTTAGGATTTAAGTTTAGGATTTTTAGGTTTACGGTTTATAGGTTTACGGTTTTTTAGGTTTAGGATTGTTAGGTTTAGGGTTTAGGGTTTAGGGTTTAGGGTTTAGGGTTTAGGTTTAGGGTTTGGGTCTAGGGTTTGAGGTTTTATGGTTTTTAGGTTTAGGATTTAGGTTTAGGTTTAGGATTTAGGCTTAGGGTTTTTAGGTTTAGGATTTAGGTTTAGGATTTAGGTTTAGGATTTAGGTTTAGGGTTTTGAGGTCTAGGATTTGGGCTTAGGGTTTTTAGGTTTAGGATTTAGGTTTATTTAGGTTTAGGATTTAGGTAGGGCCGTCTAGGATTTGGGCTTAGGGTTTTTAGGTTTAGGATTTAGGTTTAGGGTTGGCGCCTTTTAGTGTTCCTGCTGGCGGGATTCCTTTTAGGGTTCCGGCTGGGGGGATGTCTTTCCGGGTTCCTGCTGGCGGGGCGCCGTTTAGTGTTCCTGCTGGCGGGTCTTTTAGGGTTCCTGCTGGCGGGGTGCCTTTGAGAGGCCACGGATTTAGGTCTAGGATTTAGGTTCAGGATTTAGGTTCGGTTTAGGTTTAGGATTTAGGCTTAGGGTTTTTAGATATAGGAGTTTAGGTTTAGGGTTTAGGTTTCGGATTTCGGCTTAGGATTTTAGGTTTAGGATTTAGGTTTATAGTTTTTAGGTTTAGGATTCAGGACACATTTTGGCTCAAATGTAGAGAAGTTCCCATTTGGAGCTCCAACAGCGACATTTTGGAGCCGGCCATGGAAATGGCAAGTCTCTTGGCTCAAATGCAAAGAATTTGTGATTTGGAGCTCCAAAAGCGACATTTTGGAGCTGGCCCTGGAAATGACCGTTCTTTACTAGAGTTTATACAAAAATTAGAAACGGAGAGAGTTCGCCATTTGGAGCTCCAAAAGGAACATTTTTGGCCTGGCCTGGAAATTGACGGGCACTAAACGAGCACTAGACGAGCACTAGACAAGACAAGCACTAGTGCTTGTCTAGTGCTCGTCTGGCGCTCGTCTAGCGCTCGTCTAGCGCTCGTCTAGTGCTCCATCTAGTGCTCGTCCAGTGCTCCGTCCAGCGCCCGTCTCTCTTCTATCCCCGGAAATTTTCCGGAAATTTCCGGCGTTGTGCCCTCCCTAGAGCCTCTCGTCTAGTGCTTGTCTAGTGCTCGTCTGGTGCTCGTCTCGAGCGCCCGTCTAGCGCTCGTCTAGTGCTCGTCTAGTGCTCGTCTAGTGCCCGTCTAGTGCTCGTCTCGTCTGGCGCCCGTCTAGTGCTCGTCCAGTGCCCGTCCAGTGCTCGTCTAGTGCTCGTCTAGCGCTCGTCTAATGCTCGTCCCCGTCTAGTGCTCGTTACTGCTCGTCTAGTGCTCGTCTAGCGCCCGTCTAGTGTTCGTCTAGTGCTCGTCTAGTGCTCGCCTAGTGCCCGTCTGCCCGTCTAGTGCTCGTCTAGTGCCCGTCTAGTGCTCGTCTAGTGCTTGTCTAGTGCTCTGTCTAGTGTCTAGTTCTCGTCTAGCGCTCGTCCAGCGCTCGTCTAGTTCCCGTCTAGTGCTCGTCTAGCGCCCGTCTGGCGCTCGTCTGTGCCCGTCTAGCGCTCGTCTAGTGCCCGTCTAGTGCTCGTCTAGCGCCCGTCTAGCGCTCTAGTGCCCGTCTAGTGCTCGTCTAGTGCTCGTCTAGCGCCTCGTCTAGCGCCCGTCTAGTGCTCGTCTAGTGCTTGTCTAGTGCCCGTCTAGTGCTCGTCTAGTGCTCGTCTAGTGCTCGTCTAGCCCGTCTAGCGCTCGTCTAGTGCTCGTTTAGTGCTCGTCTAGTGCCCGTCTAGTGCTCGTCTAGTGCCCGTCTAGCGCTCGTCTAGTGCCCTAGTGCTCGTCTAGTGCCCGTCTAGTGCTCGTCTAGTGCCCGTCTAGTGCTCGTCTAGTGCTCGTCCAATGCTCTGTTTAGTGTCTCGTTCTCGTCTAGTGCCCGTCTAGTGCCCGTCTAGTGCTCGTCTAGTGCTCGTCTAGTGCTCGCCTAGTGCTCGTCTAGTGCCCGTCCAGCGCTCGTCCAGTGCTCGTCTAGTGCTCGTCTAGTGCCCGTCTAGTGCTCGTCTAGTGCTCGTCTAGTGCTCGTCCCCGTCTAGTGCTCGTCTAGTGCCCGTCTGCCCGTCTAGTGCTCGTCTAGTGCCCGTCTAGTGCTCGTCTAGTGCTCTTCTATCCCGAAAATTTTCCGGAAATTTCCGGGGTTGTGCCCTCCCTATAGAGCCTTCTGGCGCTCGTCCAGTGCTCGTCCAGCGCTCGTCTAGTGCTCGTCTAGTGCTCCTCTGGCGCTCGTCTAGCGCCCGTCCAATGCTCGTCTGTGCTCGTCTAGTGCCCGTCTAGTGCCCGTCTAGCGCTCGTCTAGCGCCCGTCTGCTCGTCTAGTGCCCGTCTGGCGCTGGTCTATAGCGCCCGTCTAGTGCTCGTCTAGTGCCCGTCTAGTGCTCGTCTAGTGCCCGTCTAGTGCTCGTCTAGTGCCCGTCTAGTGCTTGTCTAGTGCCCGTCTAGTGCTCGTCTAGTGCCCGTCTAGCGCTCGTCTAGTGCCCGTCGTGCTCGTCTAGTGCCCGTCTGGTTTAGGATTTAGTCTAGGATTTGGGCTTAGGGTTTTTAGGTTTAGGATTTAGGTTTAGGGTTGGCGTTTTAGTCTAGTGCCCGTCTAGTGCTCGTCTAGCGCCCGTCTAGCGCTCGTCCAGTGCCCGTCTAGTGCTCGTCCAGTGCCCGTCCAGCGCTCGTCTTGTGCTCATCTAGTGCTCGTCTAATACTCAGTGCTCGTCTAGTGCTCGTCTAGTGCCCGCCTAGTGCCCGTCTGGCGCTCGTCTAGTGCCCGTCTAGTGCTCGTCGAGTGCCCGTCTAGTGCTCGTCTAGTGCTCTGTCTAGTGTCTAGTTCTCGTCTAGCGCTCGTCCAGTGCTCGTCTGGTTCCCGTCTAGCGCTTGTCTAGCGCCCGTCTGGCGCTTGTCTGTCGTCTAGTGCCCGTCTAGCGCTTGTCTAGTGCCCGTCTAGTGCTCGTCTAGTGCCCGTCTAGCGCTCGTCTAGTGCCCGTCTAGTGCTCGTCTAGTGCCCGTCTAGTGCTTGTCTAGTGCGCGTCTAGCGCTCGTCTAGTGCTCGTCTAGTGCCCGTCTAGCGCTCGTCTAGCGCTCGTCTAGTGCTCGTCTAGCCCGTCTAGTGCTCGTCTACTCGTCTAGTGCTCGTCTAGTGCCCGTCTAGCGCTTGTCTAGTGCCCGTCTAGCGCTCGTCCAGTGCCCTAGTGCTCGTCTAGTGCCCGTCTAGCGCTCGTCTAGTGCCCGTCTAGTGCTCGTCTAGCGCTCGTCCAGTGCTCTGTTTAGTGTCTCGTTCTCGTCTAGTGCCCGTCTAGCGCCCGTCTAGTGCTCGTCTAGTGCTCATCTAGTGCTCGCCTAGTGCTCGTCTAGTGCCCGTCCAGTGCTCGTCTAGTGCTCGTCTAGCGCTCGTCTGGTGCCCGTCTAGTGCTCGTCTACTGCTCGTCTAGTGCTCGTCCCTGCCTAGTGTCGTCTAGTGCTGGTCTAGCGCTCCATCTAGTGCTCGTCTAGTGCCCGTCTAGCGCTCGTCTAGTGCTCTTCTATCGGTTGTGCCCTCCTTATAGAGGATTCTGGCGCTTGTCCAGTGCTCGTCTAGTGCTCGTCTAGTGCTCGTCTAGTGCTCCTCTGGCGCTCGTCTAGCGCCCGTCCAATGCTCGTCTGCGCTCGTCTAGTGCCCGTCTAGTGCTCGTCTAGCGCCCGTCTGCTCGTCTAGCGCCCGTCTGCTTGTTGAGCGCCCGTCTGGCGCTCGTCTAGCGCCCGTCTAGTGCTCGTCTAGTGCCCGTCTAGTGCTCGTCTAGTGCCCGTCTAGCGCTCGTCTAGTGCCCGTCTAGTGCTTGTCTGGTGCCCGTCTAGTGCTCGTCTAGTGCCCGTCTAGCGCTCGTCTAGTGCCCGTCTAGTGCTCGTCTAGTGCCCGTCTGGTTTAGGATTTAGTCTAGGATTTAGGCTTAGGGTTTTTAGGTTTAGGGTTTAGGTTTAGGGTTGCCGCCTTTTAGTGTTCCTGCTGGCGGGATTCCTTTTAGGGTTCCTGCTGGGGGGATGTCTTTCCGGGTTCCTGCTGGCGGGGTGCCTTTGAGAGGCCACGGATTTAGGTCTAGAATTTAGGTTCAGGATTTAGGTTCGGTTTAGGTTTAGGATTTAGGCTTAGGGTTTATAGATATAGGAGTTTAGGTTTAGGGTTTGGGTTTCGGATTTAGGCTTAGGATTTTAGGTTTAGGATTTAGGTTTATAGTTTTATGTTTAGGATTCAGGACACATTTTGGCTCAAATGTAAAGAAGTTCCCATTTGGAGCTCCAAAAGCGGCATTTTGGAGCCGGCCATGGAAATGGCAAGTCTCTTGGCTGAAATGAAAAGAATTTGTGATTTGGAGCTCCAAAAGCGACATTTTGCAGCTGGCCCTGGAAATGACTGTTCTTTACTAGAGTTTATAAAACAAAAAAATACACATTTTTGCTGAAACGGAGAG